TTGCCACCCAAGATGACTGTTGGAAATATCTAAGACTGAACAGGGGGACAATTCAAGGCCAGGCTCGGCATCTTTCCAGCTGGTAAGAAAAGATGATTAGAACTACTGTTAGGCTATGTCTACACTGGAGGCTTCTTGCGTGATAAATATGCAAATGAGGCTAAGCATGAATATTGCCAAGCCTCATTTGCATAACTAATGAGCCACCATTTTTGCAAAAGTGGCTCTTGCACCAGAAGGCGCTATCTACACTGCGCCTTCTTGCACAAGAAAACCCTCTTGCGCAATGCCATTATGCCGATTATTTTCAGGAATAACAGCATTGCGCAAGAGGTTTTCTTGAGCAAGAAGGGGCAGTGTAGATAGCTCCTTCTGGTGCAAGAGTCTCTTCTGCAAAAATGGCGGCTCATTAGGTATGCAAATCAGGCTTGGCGATATGCCACGCTTAGCCTCATTTACATATTTCTCACACAAGAAGCCGCCACTGTAGACATAGCCTTAGGCTAAGAAATTGCTTGTAACAAGTTTTAGTGTATTAGGTTTAGCTTGTGTGTTTTGTTTAACTTACTTTGATCAGTCTGATATCTCCTATGACTACTTAAATCCCATTTTTATTCTTAATAAAACTGTTTATTAATACACTCTGTGAATAATTGTTACTAGGGAGGATAATAGCTGTGCATCTCTCTCTTTTATTGATAAAATGCATGGACATTTTATGAGCTTGCTCTATATAAAACTTTATATAGAGTAAGATGGCTTTATCTAGGTTTCTGGTCTCATCAGGGCTGTGCACCTAGGTGCTTTGACTGAGCCTTTTTAGCTGATCTCAGGCTATGTCTAGACTTCAGGCTTCTTTCAGAAGAAGCTTTTCTGGAAGAGATCTTTCAAAAAAATCTTTCAAAAGAGCATTCACACAGCAAAAGCTCATCAAAAAAGTGAACTGCTTTTTCAAAAGATAGCGTCCACATTGACTGGATGCTATCTCGAATTTAAGTTGTGATTACTATGGGCAGAGTAGTCACCAGGGCACCTGTGCTTTTTCCTGGAGGTCTCTTTAAAAAAACAAAAAACCCCACCAAAAACCACCCTCTTCCCCACCCCCACATTCCTTTTTCCAAAAACGCTCTGTCAGAAAAAGGCTTCTTCCTCATAGAAAGAGGTTTACCACTGTCGGAAAAACCCCTGTGTTCTTTTTGACTGTCAAAAGAACGCAATTGCAGTGCAGATAGAAGTGTAGTTTTTCTGGAAAAACTCTGCAGTGTAGAGATACTCTGAATATCTGTGTTGTGCTGTTATGGTCTGTGATCCACGTCTCTATATCATAGCTGGACAGGCTGGAGGGCCTGGCTCAGCAGGACAGGATAGTGGGGTGCTCCATGGAATGGGTGGGCAGGCTCAATGGTATTTTAACATATCAGGTGACAGTCTCAAGGAGATCTCTGTGGCCAAACACATCACACATACCTTAAGAAATACTGATTCTAGCGAGGAGCAGAGTGTCATATTAGAGGTGAGCTAGGGAAACCAGAGTTCAGCTTTGAAAAACTTTGGTCAGGTTTGGGTTTTGCAAAACCAAAATCTGGAGGGAGGGGGTCTCAGTTCTAGTTTGTCCAAACCACCAATCCATGGAACAAGAAGTTCAGATAAGTGTTGGGTTTTTGGTCAATATCTACTGTTCTTGGACTATCCCAAACTAGGGATCTAATAATATAGTTGATTGACCGATTAACCAATAAGCAAAAGCTTATAGGTTAATGCTATAGATATGGTGACCATATTTTCTGAATCAAGATTAGGGACACATTAGCCACACCTCCTGGCCCCCATTAGCCACGCTCCTCACCCCCTATTAGCCACGCCTCTGGAGGTAACACTCTCGGGGTCAAGAGGAACACATGACCAGAAGTAAAAGGGGTCATGTGATACCCCCCAAGCACTTTTCCCACCATCCTCCTACCAATAGGGATGAATTTGGCCCCCACCAAATCTCCCTCATGCAACTGTCCTGCAATTGCATTAACCCAATTTGTGTCTCATTAATTGGGGGGGGGGGGGGGGGGGGGGGGCTTTTCCTTGATGAGTTTGGTCCCCATCAAACCCTCCCTCATGCTACTATCCTGCAATTGCATTAAACCAATTTGTATCACATTAACTTGGGAGAGGGGGGGAGGAGGAAGGCTGGAGGAAGTGTTCCCGCTAAGATTTTCCTCCCATGAGCAGAATTATTTTTGTATTGTGCACTAGTATTAAGTTCATGTGGCTTGTTTGGATGTGCCACTGTGGCACCCAAGTTAATAATAAATATCTTATAAACCTCTACCTTTTCTCTCCATTGCCGTGTCTCCCCTTGCTCCATCAGCTCCCCTAGTGCCTGCTGCCTCCCAACACCTTCAGCCTTCTCTGCTGTCCTGACTCCTGCCCTTCTCACTGCTCTCAGCCTTCCTGAGACCTGCCCTCCTCCACCAGCCCTTCTCTCCCCCATGTGCCCATGCCTCCAGAAGCCCTACTCTGATCATGTGAGCTAACACTTCCCTCTACACACCTCTCTCCTGCCCTGCCTCTCTCCTCTGGTGCTGGTCCTTCCCCTGCAGGTGTCTGCCCTTCTGCTTCACTCCCAGAATCCCCTGGCACCTGCACCTTCCCTTACCCCTGCACTCTCCTGGTGCCTCCCCCTTCCCTCACTGCCCTTGCCCTCTTTTTCCCTGATGCCCACCCCCTCACCATCCTCTTCCCCAGTTCCCCTCATGCCCCTCTACGCCCTCACACATTACTTGCTCCATCCCCACCTTTCTTATGCCCACCCCTCCTTTCAAGCCTTCTCCCAGGACCTTCCCTTTACCCCCAATGCTCCGCTCCTCTCCTCTCCCAGCATCACCCTGTCCCCTCCACCCTCCCACCTCCACTGACGACACCTCTCCCTCCTCCTGCCCTTTTCCTCATTGTCTCCACTTGGCCCCCTCTCATTTGTCTCTTTCACCCTGCCCCTTGGTGCCTTCTCCTTTCTTCTCCTGCCCTGACCCCCTCCCCTCAGTCCAAGCCCCTTCCTCTTCCCCCCCCCTTCCTCCTAGTTTTCTCCCTGCCCCTCCCCCACCTTCTGCCTTCTAGTTTGTGGGGCTGGAGTCTGTGGTCAGGCCCCAGAAATCCCTGCTGCTCCAGACCCAGCTGCTTCCAGGGCAGGCCTGAAGCTGGGCCGCCTGCGGTGCTAATTTTACTGCAGTCCCTGCACCAGCTTTGGCTCACGTTAGCAGGAGCGTGGGGGAGAGGGGGGAAAGCCCCCAGACCTGGCTTGCGGAGTGCGGCTGTGTGAGCGGGTCGGTGCACTGCCGCTCCCCCAGCGGAATAAGAAGGGGCAGGGGGAGAAAGGGCCATGCACAGAGCACACCGGCAGAGCCCGAATGTACCCCACTCTGCAGCGCTCCAGCCGGGCTCTGCACAGTCTCTGCTGGGACTCCGGCAGCGGCTCACCGGCTCTGACCAGCGCCCCTTCTACTCTGGCAGCGGCAGTGGCCGCCTGTGGATGGAGGAGGCCGGGCTGGAGGCTGCGCACAGCAGAGACAGTCCCGCAGCAGGCTGGAAGGGCCACGGAGGGCGTGCCGAATGCTGGTGCATGCTGCAGGGGAGCTTGGCATTCCGGACACTGCGCACCACCGGCAGTGGCCCTGGGTGCCTGTGCAAAGCAGCAAGGGAGCCACTTACGTGCTGGGTGGAGATGGGGCGTTGTTGCTGCGCTAGTGCTGGGTGTCTGCGAGGGGGGAAAATGGCAGTGCTGTTTGTAGCCAGATGCCAACGGGTTTTCCAGGACATTTGCTGCCTTTATTGGGACACTGGGACAGGCCCCTTACATCCAGGACTGTCCCAGGAAAAAAAGGGACCTATGGTCACCGTAGCTATAGACTACACGCATTTCCCTTCCCCCACCCTTGCCAGTAAATTTTTTAGCTGGCTGGCCAGCAGCCTGGCTCAGTTCTGGCTCATGCAGGGTCCAGGAGCACAGACCACACCTTAGACAGACGCTGCAGCCACACCACACTGCCGTGTGATGGCACATGAGGGGGTCTCAGACTTTGCACCCCCCATCCACAGCCCTGATGTGACGCTCAGACGGCCAGTAGAGTAGATGGTTTCATTGGGTCACAGGGACACACTGTAGCATAGGCTCAATGCTAGCACAGGCATCGAGGGCAGACAGCTTTATTCCTCCCAAGGAAAAGGGCTCCTGGGCCCCTCACCCTCTTTTCCCTGCTCCCAGCCTCTTCCCTCCTGCTAGCCCAGACCAGATGGACCCAGGCCTAGTTCCCAGCCTGATTACAGCCCCCTCCTATATCTTTTGTCCTTAATCTCCTGTCTCTCCTCAGGTGTCTGACCCAATACACATCTAGAGTGAGTCATCCTCAGCCTCTACACCAGACTAACACGGGGGGGGGGGGGGGGGGGGGGTGAATGAGGGACATGTGCTCACACTCACAGAAGGCAGGAGAGAGGAGGAGAGAGGGTGGGACAGGGGAAGGGGACACCTGAGAGGAGGTACATGTGCACACACTCACAGAACAATACAGCAAAGACTGAATGTAACAGCCTCCCCCTCCCTGCCCCCCCATTACATCACATGCTGCCTCTTTATCAGTTTTTAAACTGGCAGCCTGGCGTGCTGCACTGCTGCCTCTGATACAGTGGCTGCTGGCCCCACCCCCGGGAACTATAGAATAGTCGACTAACCGATAAAAATTCATGAGAATTGAATTCGACAATTCAATTAATCTATATTTAACATCCCTATCCCAAACCATCTTCTCTTGATAGGACTGAACATGTTATTCTGGAATAAGTGCTTCTACTGGTGCTCTAGTGAAATATTTTAAGAAGAGTCTTTTAAAACAATTACCACATTTACAATACATCTATTGTAATATATTTTATAATTATGGGAAAATCTAGCATCCATAGAAGCACCATTTGCAGGTGCCCACACAAATATACATAAAATAGACTTTCATACCCCAGAAATTTGGAACTGTGGGTTATGTTTTTCTGGGGTGACAGTGAAGGTTACCTGGATACAAGAACTCAGAACAGTGAGACTTTGTGCAGCTATAGGCAACTGCAGGCACTAATGCCAATGGATTTGTAAAATGGACCTCTCTCTCTTATTTGTAGCGAGAGCTGAATTTATGCAACTTGCATGATCAAACAAACGTACACTGCGCACAGTTTCCTGACACGGAAATGTGTGTGCAGGAAGTAGCTTGGTGAACACTTATACTAGGGCTTCTCTGTCCATTCCCTTAACATACGACTCATATGAACTCCCTGGACTAACCTCATAACATCAGAATTGATCAAGGATTTGTGTTTTACTCAACTTGGCTGCAATTCAGAGCTGGATAAATAGGAACCCTGCTGCTTTCAGACTAAAACACGGAAGACCCAGTCATGGGAGACCCTGAACCAAGTGGTATGTGATGGCGTTTGAAATAACCTTGTGAACTGTTTGTAATATAAGCTCCATGGTACAGGGGCCACCTCCTTTGTCAGTCTGAGATGCCTAGCAGGCTATGGGTAGAGCAATGGTAAACTAACGGGCCAGCATCTTTGCCTTTTCATGAAAATACTGCCCGCTCTCTGCACTTTACTGCATCTTTTTCTCTTCGCTAGATGCAACTGTGGGTTAGTCTGTAGGAAGCTAGGACTCATCTTGCAAGAGAAACAAATACAGAGACTCCATTGTCAGGAGCCACAGGCTCCAGTGTTTTGAGACTGTGGTCGTGTCTCCTGCAGTACTCAGTACTTCCACTTTTCTGGGGTTGTGAGGTTCTTTAAACCTTTCTGGTTATGACCCCTATTTTTAAGAATCTCTTCCTCAACCATCAGCTTCTCCAGCCCCCTATGGCATTTTCCCATTCTCAATAGAGCAGCAATAACCAGTCCATGGTTTCACATGGTTTTCTAACTAAGAAAAAGCTAGCAGATGCAACATTCCAGGTGACTTCCCCTTCAGGGAGACAAAGCTGTGCCAATTGTAAGGAGAAAAACAGATCAGAACAATTACTTTTTTTGCAAATAGGCTATGCACATATACTCTGTTTCCATTGTTAAAGATCTCAGTAGCACTTTGAGCTGTAGGAACTTTTTGACTGTTCATAGTATGCAGAGAACTTTAGAGTGAAAAAAATGCACTTTGTAATGTAATGCAATAGTATTCCTGATTGTTGTGATTTGGGGGTGAGATGTGAGTGTGTGATGCTTCCACTAGAAAGGAACAGCTCTGCCTGATGGAAAATAGGCTGGAAATACCAAGTCTGTCACTAAATATTTGAATAAACATTAGCCAGCCGCCCAGTGTCATTTCATGCAACTGTATTTCTGACCCAGGTAGTTTTGGAAAGAGGTGGGATTTAGTGGTTACCACACGAGGTGGGGTGTTAGGACTCCTAAATTCTATTTCATTATCTACAATGGACTCTGTAATGCCTTGAACCATCTCATGTCACCTCTCTCTGTGCCTCATCTTCCCATTTTGCAAAACTGGGATAATTATACTGACCACTAATAGCCATATAGGTACCTCCTTAGGTAAGGCCTCATTGAAGGATGTGAGTCTAAGTTAATTAACATTCACAAAGCACTATGAACACCTCAGTAAAGGGCAGAGCATTGTGATATAGTGTTGACATTACCCTGGACTCTGCACATTAGCAGTGTTACCTATATTTTTCTAATGTTGCCTGCTTTTTGAATTTCTGCAGAACTTTCAATATTTCTGTCTTACACCCTTATCTGTCCTGTGGCTTCTCCCCAGAGGCTTGGGACATAAGGGTATCTTACAAGAGCTGTCTATTTCCCGGGACTGAAATAAAATTTTGTCTAATCTACTTTTGCTATATTATACTCATTTCAGGTATCCCACCCCTTAATGAGAAAGTTTGACTTTGCCAGACCTCTTTTTCCTATCAATTATGTATGATTAGGTGTTGCAGTGAAGAATTTTAAACTCTTCAAGCTTTAAGTAGACTAAAATTTCATTTTGCTTTAGTGCTTCTGCTTGGGGTGACGCACACATGAAAGTAGGTGGTGAATGTGAGAAATATGGAGGAGATTATAAGAAATGGCAGTGCATCTGTAAAACAGTTTGGTTCTGACTTTTCCAAGAAATCTATGAAGCATTGTGTTGTAAAACCCACATCTCACCCACTGGCAGGCACTGTGCTATGAGCAGATCGCTTGTTCCTGCTACCTTTGTCACCACCTCTCAGAAGTTCATCTCAGTCTTCCCTCTCCCACCTGGCAATATGAGATGTTTTTCCTTCTGTTAGCAATAGGAAGAGATGATGTGAGGCGATGTCTCGGTTACAGAAAGGAGAAAAGCCTTCAAGAGTAGAGTAGCTGGGCTTGAGAGCACTTCAGTTCAGGCTAGTTTACTGGGTCTAATTGGGTTAGTCTTCAGTGCAAAGAGTGGATTTGGAGTTGCTGCCATGAGAGTCGTGTGTCCTTCTGTGGAGAACCGATTAAGTTCTCAGAGATGAACATGGACTGAGAACTGAGGCCCTGAGTAGGCAGGGCACTTGGGCCCACTCCGCAGACGGTACTGCAGCCAAAGTGAGAAGGGATTCTTTTTGTCTGTGACCAGGACCAGGAGCAGGGTGCGAGGCAGGCACCACTGGGAGTGCCTGGAGCAGCCTGAGACTCTGAAGAGTAGACTCTGCTAGGATTTAAGATTATACATGCACTGTGAAATGAGGCGACGGTGCAGCTGAAAGGGAAGTGGAGCTTCTGCCATTCTGCAGAGCAACAACTTCTCCCTCTAAAAATATCCACCCTGCTCTGCACACTCTCTGCTGAGGGAGCCTGCCTTTCCTGCAACCGCAGCAAATGGGAAATAAGGCTAGTGGGCTTCTTGTAGGGTAGACATGGATCACATGACTCTTAGTCTAGTTATCCACGGAGGCCAGGAGAGTGACAGGAACGTGTTTGCTTCTCACCTGTGTGCAACCTCTGACTGATTTTTCTGTGCGTCAGTGGCCCCGACCCAAAAAAGTTTCCCTGCCCCTGTTGTAAAGCAATACACATAGCTGCTGCTGGAAGGGTTTCATTACTGCTCTGTCACTGCACCTGGGACCGAGCCGGAGCGAACTTTTACAGGCAGGGAATAAAAGCCTGCTCAGCAAAGAGGATTAAAAATGGGGAACCTTCTTAAAATGATGTTGTTCAATATGGCTGTTTCCTGATTTTTAAAGCCAAGCCCATATGGGCATAAAGGCCAGAGACAAACAAGTGAGAAACAATGTTCAAGGATGTTCTGCGTTGCTAGAGACAAATAATCAACTTCAGCCTTCTGCAGTAGGCATGAAAAAACCTTTCTTCTTCAGAAACTGATTTAAGTTCTCCCTGAAGGCCCTCACTGAACCATGATCACTCTGGTATCAGACTCCTGCACTCCCTGATTATCCACGTGGGGTCTTTGTTTCTCATCTGTAAAATAAGGATAATAATATTACCCTGCTTCACATAAGGATTATGTGTATTAAGTAATGTTTGTGAACGGTTTTGGGGTGCCACAGAAGAGCAACCTTTTAGTACTATAATATCTAAATGACAGTTATTCTCTTTCACCTTTAGTCCACTTTTTCCCAGAGCAAGTGTACTTTTTAATGCTGACCAGTGTGTGTGTTTACTTATATAGTGGCAAGCCCTCTCATAAGACTGAAGGTAGTTTATGGCTGCACAAGTTAATGTGCCAATTCCTAGAAGTTGCAGGTAATCCACTGTATGATGTACTGTGCAAACACAGAACTAAGCAGTCTCTGCCCCCAAAGAATTTACAAATGGTGAATAAAAACAGAGATGTGCAAGAAAACAATAAGACAATATTGGGCAACACCCTCAACAAACCCATTGCCTAACCTTGTCAAGTTTTTTGTAAGCTTACTGCAAAGGAGAGTTTTAAGGAGTGATTTGTAGATGTTTGAGGAGCTACTTCAAATTAGGGATGCTAAATATTGGTTAATCAAATAGTCGAGTAACCTCATAAATTCTTATCGGTTAGTCGACTGCTCTACAGTACTCGGGGGATGGAGCCGGGGTTGGCAGCCAGTGCACTCTGGTCCCACTTCCGAGTTGCCCCCTGCCACTCCTTGCTGCTGCCAGGCAGGAGCTGGTCTGCGAGGGGAGCCAGTTTAAAAACCAGCTCCCTTTGCAGACTGGCTGCCTGTTGCCCCATGCTGCTGCCTTGGATAAAGAGGCAGCAGCACAGGGTGGCAGCAGCCCCTTTCCGGGGGAGAGGAGTCTGTGCTCCTGGACCCAAGGTGAGCCTGCCACCCTACCTCCTAATACACTTTAAATGCAGAGCCACAGCAGAGGTAGGTCCTGGACCCATTGCAAGTCAGGACTGAGCCAAGTTGCTGGTTAGCCTGTTAAAAAATTTACTTGAGGGTGGCGGGTGGGGAAATGCATGTAGTCTATAGCTATAAGCTTTTGCTTATCTGTTAATCAGTTAATCTACTATATTATTACATCCCCACTTCAAATCACAATTTGTTTTATCAAAGATCCTCGAGGCATATGAACAGTTTAGTCTGGACCTGAATGTGCTGAAAGGCTACTTGAAACAGGTCAGGACAGACAGTCCCTTTCTTATCCAACAGCGACGCTTATTAATGCAAAGCTTGAGTACAGAACAAGATGCTTAATAGAGCTGGCATTTTCTAGGACAGGAAAATGTCTTAAACCTAGTTTTTTCCACTTTCAATTGATATTCAGTTGACATTTAATGAAAAATACAGTGAAGGAACCTGGGTGTCTGAGGTCACTTGTATTCCCTCTCAGTTAATCCTAATGTTCAAAAGCATAATCTATCATTTTGCCCATCACCTTTGCTGCTAAGTAGATAACACACTAATGAATCACTTTCTCCTGTTTTACAATATCATTTATTTCTACACCTCTGTAAATAAAGGAGCAAGGAAGGTGACCACTGAAGAAAGAAAGCAAAACATTTAGCAAGATTCCTAAAGGCAGCTTCTGACTCTTTAAGTTTTCCAGTTTCGGTTGATTTGTTAGCTATCATAGAATACTGGAACTGGAAGGGGCCCCAAGAGGTCATCAAGTCTAGTTCCCTGCAGCTACAGCAGGAGGGGTCCCCTGCCCTCCGACTGGTGGCTGTCCGCCATTGTCTATCCACTGCTCTTAAATATCTCCAGTGATGGAGATTCCACAATCTCCCTAGCAGGGCCGGTCAACAACATTTTGGCACCTGAGGTGAGGCGCTCAAATGACGCCCCCATGCCCACTCGCTTGTGCCAAAACTTTGAAAGGTCTCAATTCTGCCTCCTTCCTCCAGCATAGCATGCCACCATCTCTGTGGATCTAGAGCAGAGAGAATACATCTGCACCAGCAGCAGACACAATTTTCTACACTCTGGGTCCTAGTGGCCCCTTCCCCCCCACAGTCTGGCACCT